AGAAGTCAGTGAAGATGACGGAGGGACACTTCAGGGCCTCCACTGAAGTCAGGATTAAAAGACAACGAAACGAGCTTCAACTGTAGCGGAGGCAAGTCTGAGACCCTGAAGGGGTCCTCGCCACATACCACGTGGCACCGCCTCCCACGAGGGGCCACCGAGCACTGGACACATCTGCAACACAGATGAAAATGACCCTTCAGCCCTCGTGTCCTCCGGGACCGCACACCGAGCAATGCCCTCTCGGCATCCGAATCCCAGACCTTCAGAGGGCGGGCCGGGGAGCGCCCCCGCAAAGCTTCCAAACTCCATTCCGTGCAGGTTGGGAGCTTCCAGGACTCCTTTGTCTTTATGCTAATTTGGGAGTTGGCTATTGCCCTTCATAGAATCTTCTACATTTCTGAGGAAATCATACTGTCATTTAACTTTTCCTATTTTTTATGTATTCTCGTAAATGGATGGCAGGGACTCTGACCGTAGTCTGACAGATTAAAAAAAAAAAAAGCTCAATAAATTTGTTAATCAAAGGGTGCTCTTTCAGAAATGTGTTTGAATATTTGAAGTTAAGCTTAGCCTGCTCCTGCTCATAATGGTGATTATGCATCAAAATCCACGGCCACCTCTCATCTCCCCCACATGGGACCAGGGTAGTTCTGGAGAAGACTCAGCACTGCAGGTGGCTTCTTATTTGTAGCTCTGAATGGGAGATCAACCCTCTAAACTCAGCTGAATGGGGATTCTAGGGCCCAGGGCTCGATAAGAACCTGCAACCAGGGGCGCCCGGGTGGCTCAGTCAGTTAAGCGTCTGCCTTCAGCTCGGGTCATGATCCCAGGGTTCTGGGATCAAGTCCTGCATCGGGCTCCCTGCTCGGCGGGAAGCCTGTTTCTCCCTCTCTCACTTCCCCTGCTTGTGTTCCCTTTCTCGCTGTGTCTCTCTCTGTCAAATAAATAAATAAAATCTTAAAAAAAACCAAAGCAAAAACCTGCAACCAAGGTGGGAAGAGTTCCAGGTGCCACCCCCACCCTTTCTAGATAAGCCCAGTCTGGGCTTCCAGCAAATCCTCTCTGCAGACCTTCCCTGAAGCCCAAGGCTCATTCCTAGGACCTACGACCACCCTCCCTCCTTGCCACCCACCCCCCACAACCTCACCTAAGATTGCGCCTCTTCTAGAAAGGGGAAAGGTTACATTCAACCTCAGATCCCTGATAAGGATGGTTGCTGGGTCTGAATTTATTTTGAACTGGGAACGGCCAGAGATCACTAAACACAGGCTTTCTATTCCTGCCTAAGGCAGCCAAGGTAACTGCAGCCTCTCCCATTCATCAAAATTCTTGGGCAGGCGCTTCTGTTTCTCATATTCTTCTAGGACCATCACCCAATGCTCCCTTCCAACCCCAGGCGCATCCCCACACAAAGCCTGCTCACTCTGGTCAAATGCTTCAGAACAATGCAATGATCCTTCAGTTACTCAAACTCTCTTTGGGGCTAGTTCAGAAGAAAGTGGTGCATGAAGCTAAACCAAGCTCAGAAGTTTACCGCCTGAAATTCACAGTTTTACAGTTTGGAAAGCAATTTGAAATATATGATCTTGGGGCGCCTGGGTGGCTCAGTCGCTAAGTGTCTGCCTTCGGCTCAGGTCATGATCCCAGGGTCCTGGGATCGAGCCCCACATCAGGCTCCCTGCTCAGCAGGAAGCCTGCTTCTCCCTCTCCCACTCTCCCTGCTTGTGTTCCCTCTCTGGCTGTCTCTCTGTCAAATAAATAAATAAAAAATCTTAAAAAAAAAAAAAGTAAGAAATACACGATCTTATTTGATTTGCTCCTTCCAACAGCCCCGGAAGATGCAATAAATGTTATAATCCTCAAACGACACACAGCGTGAAAGTGTTTGTGAACCGGAAGGCCTTTCACATACAGGAACGCTTGCTTCGCCCAGGAGGAAATGAGAGGAGGTACGTGACCTGCCCAAGGTCGCGGAGTTAAGGGGAATGCCAGGGTTCAAACCAGGACCTCTTGGCTTAAATCTAGTGCTTCCTCATCTGGGCTGGCCCACAGGGCTATGGGACTCTGCACGGAGGACAGCGGTTTCATGGATGCAGACGCCTAACCCACCTGGCTGGCTTGGAACCATCTGCCATTGGAGATGAGGCAGTGGATAGAGATGGCTTAGCAAAACTCATCACCATCCCTGCAGAAGTAACTCAGCGTCCTTATCTCTGCTTGCACCATCAAACACGCTTTCGGAAACTCTTGAGAAGAACAGGTGTCCACGGGCAATAAGCTGTCCGAGGACAAAACGGACAGGGGCTGGAGCAGCTGCGTGAGCCTGCGTGTCAGGAACGACCGATCAATACAGAAAGATCAAGATTTGTCACAAACACTTCTCATTCCTTTGGACCCAGGTGTCAGTCCCCAAGAGGGGGTTAAAGACGCTTCTGAAGAAATATTGCAGAGGTTTCTTTACTTTGGGCCACAAGTCTTCTCCACATCACAGTCCTCTGTCACGTGGCTCCTCCCTAGGGAATACACACCAACTCGGAGGCCTTCTCTGACCTTGCTCTGACTACGTGGGCAACCAACCCAGGAGTGCTGAAACACTCTGAAATGGAAGAATTTACACTTGCTGACACGCTCGCTCATCCCAGCACTCACGTGTCCCGTACTGATGGAATGCTCACCACAGGCCCACTGCGGAGCAAAGCGGACGCAGTCCCTGCCTTTCCGGGGCTTACCGTCGAGTGTCACTGTTCCTCGGTCTTCTTCGGGAACCTACCCTTCCCTCGCTCCCCAATTAGACTGCGCACCCATGGTGAGCAAGAGTCACGTACTTTGATTTTCTGAAACACTCGTTGGGCGCCTTCCCCTAGACTCTCTACGTGGGACACTGACGGACTGTGTGAGAATCCCTGACTCCACAATCTGGAGTGTGTCCTTCTGCTCAATCTCCTAAACTTAGGAGTTCTTTAAAATCCACAGTCTTGAACCTGAGATGTCAAAAGGTCCAGCAGAAGGAGCCCGCAGCCTAAGGGGTAAGATATCTAGAAGGGGACCTGAGCCTCAGACGGGGTAGAGGCGGCGAACACTCTCAGTCTGCAAAGCTACATTACCCCACAGGAGAAACGGGTGCTTTACTACAGAAATGACAGTGCCGGCCCCAAGACTGTTGAAAACATAAGTACAAATGGAATACCGGAGAGCATCCTATCATGGAAACCACAGTCCACAGGACCAACACATAAACCCAGTTATCCAGCGTGGGGCAAGCAAAAGAGCCTGGGTCAGAAGACACGCATCTGGGCTCAGATTCTGCTGCTAGTCCAGCAAGACGGCACCAGGCAAGCCAGGTGTCCTCCCTGGGCCTCAAGGACCCCCACTGTACAACGGGAATAATAACCTCCACCTTGTCTGCCTCACAGAAACGCTGTGAGGCTCAGATGAGACCTGTTCTATGAAAGTACTTGGGGACACGTCCCACGTCGTCTGCATCCGCACAGATGGTGAGGACATACAAGCTCCCAGAGGAGCACCTCGCATCAGCCCGTGAACCCTCACGGCCTCCTCCTTGCACCCCCAAACTTGGGTTTCCATCTGCTCACATCCCTGATTTCAGAGGAATCACTCACCATCCACATCCCACAAAAGGCAGGTGCACTAATTCCCAAACTCCAGCACGACAAAAAGAGAAGGTGGCCACGTAACCATGTCACCTCCCTGCCTTGATGCACCTCGGGCCTCCTTTTACAAGATGCGAACTGCAGGGAGGCCAAAGACAAGGGGAAGAGACACGCACACTTTATGCCCTTTGTGGCTGGCTGCCTTCACCCCACTGCCAAGTCAGGGCCCAGGTGGGGGGCTGCTGAACTGATCTAAACAGGACTCGGAGGCAATACAGAGATCAGTGTTTGGGAGGGATTATATTTATGTCACATTCCATAGCCAAAAAGAAATTACCACTAGCATGGATGATCAAAGGTTAACTGGCACGGAGAGACCACGGCTCTCCGCTCTTCGCCGCCTCTCCAGCAACACTGTCCAGTGCTTTCATTTGCTTGCTCAGTCCTCCAACCACCCATCCACCCAGTTAGGATGCGTGCAGCACCCTCAAAACAACCGTCTCTAAGATTCTTAAGGAGTAAGGGTTGGGGGGGGTGGGGAGGCGGACACCTCACAAAGTTGTAAACTGCAGCCCCAGTGATCCAGAGGCTGGTGAGGGCGTCGGATCCTGGGCTCGGACTCCAAGGACCAGAGCCTCTGCCCATCAGGCCTGAGAGCCCAAAACAACTCTTTCCAGCTCTAGGCAGAGGGAAGGCCCATCTTGCAGAGTCAAGCTTAGTAAGGACAGCTTGGAAGATTAAACCTTAGCGCATCCGCTGGTGGGCAGGTCTCAAGTTAAACCCTAAGCTTGGAGAGGAAGAAATTATAATGCGACCTGTGCATTTTGGGGCCATTATCAGTCACTGGCAAAAATCCAGACCTGTATGGGTGCAAAGGGTGCTTGTGTCCCATCAGTCAGGCCAAGAACATCCTCCTCGTTCTAGAAATGGAATCCACCCCATCACCGAGCCCCACCACTCCGTAGCAACCAGCCGGTGGAGGCCCACGCCCCTGCCAGGGCCCTTCCCCCAGCAGCTCAACACCTAAAGCCAGTCCCAATCCACCCTGGGGACTCACGTGACCAGGCTTGTGCCGCCTCCCGCCCCCTAAACTGGCAAGTTAGGGGCCCAAATTCAGCCTGTAGCCGGGCAAAAGTCAAAGACTGAGGGGGGCACTTCCCCTATCTCTCCTCTCCTGGCTTCACTGTTTATTGCTCGTCTTTAAAAAAGCACCGAATCAGGACAGGGACACACACAGAGGACACATAAACACACAGGCCAGCACAGTCCCCAGAGACCCGTGCTCCCACCCCGACCCTTCCTTTGCACCTTTTACCGAAATGCACCACCCTCCCTCCCAGTCTTCGGTTAAGAAGGTGTTGGAAAGCACATTATTAGCAGACCTACCTGTCTATGCTCTGGGGTAACCTCACACTCATGGTTTCTCAGTGTCTTCGCGGAGCTAGGATCCTGCAGTTTTGAGGTCTTGATCGGGGCTGAGTCGGCTGCAATTTTTAAGAAAGGTGGGAGGAGGGCCTCCCAACCTCACGGTCGGATGCTCCGATGCGGTCGGATGCTCCGATGCTCCGGTGCTCGGATGCTCTCTGCTGGCTCTCAGGACCCTGGGAACTCAGGCTCCATTCTATCTGTACCAGCGAGCACGGTGTCCGTTCTCAGCCCCCGACCCCTCCCCCGTCGGAGAAAAAAACCGAAAGAAAAAGAGGAAAAACTCTGACCTTCTTAGAAACCAAAAACCCAACCACAAATCTCTTCAAGGTTAGCGCTACGGGCTAAGACATGAATCACAGAAAGAATGTGCCTTCAAAGTATCAGTCTTCACTGCAAACTACAGATGAAGCCCATGCTCGAGATGCCGTTCCCGCAGCTGTCCTCCCGCAGGCGGGCGCCCGGTGGCCGGCGGGGCCGTGCCGGGTCCCCCTCGCTCAGCACGACGGCGACGCCGACGCCAGGGCAGGGGCCGCGGAGGGCCGGTCGGAACCGGCAGCGGGGGAGGCCCCGGGCCGCGCGCTCGGCGGGGAAATAAATGAAAGCATACAACGGGACGTGCACCGCGGCACCCCTTCAAGTCCGGGGCGGCCCTGCGACCACGGTTATGGAGCTCCTTAAAAAACAACAACAAAAACAGCTCTTACGTGAAAGGTCTGGAAACCCTTC